TTATTAGAGAACTAATCATATTTAACTAATGATGCATAGGCATTATCATGAAGCATAGGTATCATAATGAAGCATAGACATCATCAAGCTACCTAGTTAACATTGATATTGCATAGGCATCATCGAATGTAACCAAGGTAACATTAAATGTGTTACCAAGTAATGTGTAACTTAGCGTACTAAAAATAATATCCAATAAAATATATAGTTTATTGAAATAAAAAAAAACAGTGCATATTAATTATTCTTACACTAAGAATGAACTTTATTTCGGATAAATTGGTAGAAATGGGCATTCTTTTGGTATAATTTATCACAAATGCACGATGCTGACGAATTCATACTATAAATAAAGTTATAATTTACGAAGTGACAAAATTCCAATTAACCATATTCAAAACACACTCTTTATTGTCAAAATGTAAATGTACCAAAAAGTTTATACAGTCAAACCCCTCTATAGTCACCCAATTTCGCTTTCCCGAGGGTGGTGACTATAGAGGGGTTTGACTGTATATGTTTTACAGACATAGTTCTCTTTACAACGTAATTCATGTATTTCTAGCAAGTTCCAGTCTTTACATGAAATAAATAATGATCGTCGATTTTTCCTATAAAAGATGCAAATTTTTTGTCGTCTACCATTTTGCATATTAAAAATAAAGCATCGCGAGACAATCAATAAAAGTTTCCCAAAAAAATAATCATCACAGAACTTAATTTTACTTAGCTTTAATCGAATTAAGGTATCTTCGTTTGCGATTAAATGTCTGTGCGCCCCACACTTAATTGATGTCTAATCGGATTTTTTTCGTGTAGATGCATCCATTCAACGTTTCAGAAAATATGCCTTTTATGGCTTTGAACTACTTTGTTTTTTGCCGTTGTGAAGATATTCCCTTATGTCGCCATGTGGCTCTTTTGTGTGATATCAGGCAAAAAATTTGCCGATGAAAAAAAATACTAGATCAACACTCTTATTATCGAGGAAATCGGCAAAATCTTATCACAAAAATAGTAAGTGCTAATGATCTGAGTATGTTAAATGATATATTTACAAGACTATGTGCCCCGCTTATTAGGATAACAAAAATATATTGCATCCAACTTTTTACCTGGCCCTTCTGGGTATCAGGTGTACTTGCCTTACGAGAGGGACAGCGTCCATACACCTCTTCTATTAGGATAACCATGTGTGCGCATGGCATACAGCGTTCACCTTTGCTGACCCAATTAGCTTAATTAGCTTGGCTTCGGACTACTTGCCCTACATAGAGGGATATACCCTCTTCTATTAGGATAACCATGAGTGTACATAGCATCCAGCGTTCGTCTTAGACTACTTGCCCTACGAAAGAGGAAGTATGGTGTCTTGTGGAAGGCATCTCATCTCCAGGATCAAAATAAGCCTGCTTTCACGTGAGCATATGACCAATCATCGCCATTATTTTTTGATCGCGTAAACGGATACCATTTAATTATCGTGTCTCCATAATGATGAAAAAATTGAGATTTCTTCCCCGAACCATTGTAAGTTTCAAAAGTATAGTTTATGTACAAATAACGAAAATTGACCCATCAATGCATTCAGACAAATATCGATAAAAGACGGAAAATCGACTACAGACGCAGGCCGTAGTCCTCTCTTCCGAAGAATATATTGAACGTTCACAAGGAGCTCGTTCCATTATTGCACGTGGTTTCTTACCAAATGAAGACAACCAAGCTCTACAGAATGATAATCCCGACGAGGCTATTCCAGCCATTCTAAAAAGGAGACGGGTAAGTCATAAGTCTTGCCGTTTGACTATTAATATATGTGAAAATAGTTAAGATATGTTGATGGCAAAATAAAGAGCTCGAGAACATACCTCTATTCGAAATTTATAATAAAACTGACCGATTTACTATACAGTCATCATCTTTGCTATACATTGATCTTCCTGAAAGTACTAGTGACTCAGAGAGTGACGAAGAAGGTAATATATCTCCATGCGAGTTAGCAAGTATGAAGAAAGAAGAGCGCCATCTGTTATTATATAAAAAGAGTACTGATGATAAAAATTACACTGACGATGAAGTTGATGAGGATAAAAAGAGTACCGATGATGAGGTTTACACTGACAATGTAGTTGATGAGGATAGAAAGAAAAAGGTAAATCTTTTTGTCGATTCTAGTTTTTGACACTTTGAGAAAATTTTATTATAAAGCCTTTCTATGCACTCATAGATTAGTGAAATTCCTCTGCGAGAAAAGCAAAGGAAAGAAATAAATGATAATTTCAATTCAATGGCTAAAGATAAAATGTGGAAATTGTCGTCTGGCCGTTATGTGGAGGAGGAATTATACGAGTTAGGAAAGAAGCTAGACTATGAGCAGTAGACATACAAATTGCATCTCAGTTTGGTAATTATTATAGGGAATCTTAACCAGAGTTTTATATTTCCAGTGCAATACATTCTTTCATATTGGACACTGAAGATGAAGTTGTGATGAATCATTTTAGCAAAGAAGAAATGGAGGAAATAGATCAGACACCGGGTCCTGTCATTCCTGAATTGGCTGAAAATGTGACAGATTGTTTAAGTAAATTCGTTGACAAGGTAAATAATATCCTATTTATCTTATTTATTATTCATTGTCAGATGTACTTGTATTTAAATAATTTACAAAGCTTTTTCTCTGGTAGACCAATTTAAATGAAATCAGAAAAATACTCAAGGAAATTAGCTTTGATGATAAATATAATTTGGAAAAAGATCACGATGTTGATTATATCATATTTGCTATACATGCTTTGTAAGTAATCCTTGCGACTCTAATGCTCATACCAATAATTTTTCTTGTGATTTGTGTGAATTGATACTGACATAAAAATTATTTTACAGGGTACAAGAAATAGAGTGGGAAATTATATAACGACAAACCCGAAGCATGGTTTAATGTTCACGTTTGGAAATTTATATTTGATCAAGCATTTGGAAACGTGAAGATTATTTCAGTTGTCAGGTAAAGCTGATTTTAATCTTATTTGTTTGTTGAATTGTTTGTTTTGGCGGAACTGACAGTTTTATTCACAAACCAAGAGGGGAAAATTCGGGAATTGCCAGTTCAATTCGAAAAAATAAAAATAGGAAATTAGGTACATATTGTAGAATGGGCCGTAGAGGAGATTGGATTTTAAGATCAATTGGTAAAGGTGATAATGATGGATTTGGGGCTGGTGAAGCGGGAAAAAATGGAAAGATAAATACGGTACTAAGTTTTTAAAGGAAGCTGGTGTAAAAATTTAAAAGATATGATAATGAAGTTGATGGAAAAGGTTAAATGGAACCCAGTAAAATATGACAAAATTCAAACGGTTGGAATTGTTCATGCCGGTATGTTTTTCATTCATGTATCTAATTAATTTTACAAACAATCTATCTTTTATCATTAAATAATATCTTGATATTAGGGTTAATGATGTTAATGCTTTATTTCGACAACCCCAAGGGATATATTTGTAGGATTCGTCAGTGAATTAATGGAGGTACCGGATACACCGGAAAATTTTTCATCTATTCTAACCATTTTAGCATCAGTTCTCAATTTAAAGGTTAGACTCATGCTATTTATCGATTATATTATATTTTTTACCTAATGTTTGTTTGTTTGTTTATAAATTTAGAGTCGAATTCAGGAAATCTTGAAAGCTGTCATAAACTCGAAAGAAAATCAAGACAGGAGATCTTTCATTGATGCAGGATTAAAAAACGAAAATATAATCATGATCAGCATCAGTTAACTATTTGCATATCAACTCCTAAAAGATAATAAACAGTTCAAACCAAAAATCTGAAAATAAAATAATAGCTTTAGATTCATGTAATTCTGCAACAATTTTTAATTTTAATAAAGATTTGTCACATCTGGCTTTGAATTTTTTATATAATTAATTGTATATATAGCACAAATTTTTTTCTTAGCAATTTGAGATAAAGATTTTGAATAAAAGTTTTGAACTTAAGAAGATCCAGTTCTCAAAGATGCTCTGAATAATAAATATCTATTCTAACCCTTTAGAATGTTCAGAAATTTTCAAGAAATCTGATTTGCAAATATCTGAAAATATTTAGAAACAATTTTATAACATTAATATTTATATTTATGCAAATGACAAAATGGATACCAATTATTTTGATTTTAACTTTACAAAGTGATATATATTACGTATGATCTTTAGCACATTCCCATAATAGTTATTAAAATATGAGATAAAGAAACACTTACCATTTTTACTATAAGCAATCTGTTTAATATCTTCAAGAATAAATTGAAATCTCTTTTTTACACAATGTGAGCACCAACTATTTTTATTTTTTATAATAAAGAAATAGATATCCCATTCATGATCTTTATTACAATATCATAATAATAACATGTTATTATATGCAATTTTTTTAGCATCTTTAAAAATATATCAAGATTTACCTTTTATATAATGTAAATATTAACTATTTTTATTTTTTATATTAGTAAAACAAGTATTCTATTTATAATTTATAGTATAAACATTCTTCATTTTCATCATATACAATTTTTTAAATATATAGGTATTTCTATATAAATATTTCATATATCAATTTTATTATATTTTAATATTGTTATAAATTACAAATTATTCATGATTTTTAGAGCATTTTCACTAATAATTTATTGCAAGCTATATATTAATTTAAAAAATATAATTCATCTTTATTTATAATAATCTTTTTAATAATTTCTGAAGTATTTCATTCATATCTTTAATTATATTTTCATTTTAATAATATAAAGATATTGATATATATATCTAAAAATTATTATAAACTTGAATAATAATATAAGTATTATTTATAAATATTTCTAATTGTATTGAAAATTAGCAAAGTTTTATATAAATAAAGTATTTATATTAAATCAAATATAATAAATTTAAATTTCTAAACATAATATAAATCTTATAATCTTTAAAATATATTATAAGTCTTATAAATATTATAACTTATAATTAAATTATAAACTAAGCAATTTTAGTAGTTTGATAGCTTATGAGAATTCCAAACATTCAAATTTATAATCAAAGATAAAAACCATAATTTGATATAAAATATTTACTATATTTAAATTTCTCTATAGTTATTACCCTTGAAAAAACAAAATTTGGTGATTATAAAAAGAATATAATTATAGAGAAATTTTTTATAAATGAGAAAGCAAAATAAGATAACTATAGAAAAATGTGACAATAAATAAATATAACTATAAATGAATATAACTATAAAAAGATTTGATTATATTAATAATAATTATTCAAAAAAATATATAAGATTTATGATAAATTTAATAATTATAAACTGAAAATACTTTAGTTGTTACTATATAAAATTTTAATTATTACTAAGTATTATTAAAGTTATAGCTCATATTTAGAATTACAAATTAATATATATTAATTTTTAATCAAACTTGAACCAAACTTAAACTTGTATAATAATTCAATTTGAATTTAGTTTGAATTTTAAATCTTTCTTGAATTCAAGTTAAAATACAGTTTGAGTACAGTTTAAATTTTAAATCAAACTCAAATTCAAACAAAAATTCAGTTCAGTTTAATTTATGAAAATATTAATTTGAAGTTTTATTTGATTTAATAATTTTTATTTTGTAATATTCATTAATTTATAATTTATTATTACTAAACAAAAATAAATATTTATTGTTACCATTTTATATGAGTCTTTGGAAAAGTTGGTAAGTGCTTAAT